ACCTATATAAATCGCGGTTCTAATCGTTAAACGATTTGTTTCATTTCTGTTTATATACCTATTATAATATATATAATTAGTCCCCATAGTCGACAATATAACTATACCGCAATGTCGCCGAACGTATTTTAACTTTTTATTATACAGGATTAGTTGAAATTCACGTAGTTAAAATTAAAACATTATATTATACACGATAAAAAAAATACGAAATATTAGTTTTACTACTGAATTTACCTACTAACAGTTGAAAAATTAGAATAATATATATTTGAAAGACTACTACAATACATAAAATTACTATTAGAAAATAACCAGTTTACTGTACTCATCCATAAACCTGTAAAGGTACGTAGAAATGTTGGTCAAATGAGTCATATGACTAAATTGCTGCCAATAGTATACATTACAGTTTAACTGCAAAAATATGCTACGGTGAAATTATTGTCAACAATCTTTAAAAAAAAAATATCCATTGTAGAATGAATAAATGATAAAAAAAAATCTAACCATCAAACATCCATTATATTATAATTGAAAAATCTTTTACAAATTATTCAAGCTAATATAATAAAGCTGTCAACTATTATAACAATCTAAAATATATGTCTTAAAGTAGGTTCTTTAATAGCAATTCCAGCTACTAAGAACAATTGGTAAATATTTAACGTAATTTATCTTTATTAATCTACATAGTTCTAATTTTAGATAAGTACCTCTACTTGATTGTAGGTATATTTAACAAATTTTCTTGTAAAATAATCATCTGCATTAATAGAAAATAATAATTACAATTAAACCAATAATAAATATTTAAAAAAATTATATATAGAATATTACATATTATATAGTTATGAATTTATAATGATATGAATGATGTATTGATGTTTATCAATTTAGAAGAATCACTTTTTTTTTTGAACGTATTAAAATATATATAAAAATTATTTTATCGAGTTTAGCTGAACTAGGTTAGGTATGTTGACCTGAATGTTATCATTATTATTATAATCTAATATAATAATTATTAATTAAATATGTATATTGGGTATCATAATTATTTATATTTAAATATTAATAGTATATTGAGTACTGAGATATCGTTATTTATGATTGAACAATATTTTTTTAATAAGACGTAATATTATTATATCAATGTACAATTGTTGTGTGTCGTAATTTTTCTCAAAACCAACCTCCTTGTTAACGACGATGTTACACATAAACCACATTCTGCACATTTATCGTAAAAAATTCTGTTCGAAACTGTTTTGTCGTATTGATACGGGTTAGATAAGGAAATCGCCCGTGATACCGGTCGGATTGCAGTATTACACAAAATAGATGCGGGCAGAAACGATTTGCAACTGTAGTAATAAGTAACGTAACATACAATATCTACGACAATTTAACATCTCGATTCGTATGATAAAAACGTTTTGACTTATGAGTTACTTATTTACCTCATTTAAAGCAGTATTTCTACCTCTTTAATTATTATATAATAATATACTGTTTCTTTACGACCTATTTTTTTATTATACAAACTAAGTAGTGAAAATTAATACAGAACTCGCGCGCTCGTACTAAACGAAATAGATATTAACATATTAAGACAAATTCACATTGCTCATAGGCGTACGTCATATACCACTGCGAAAATAATTTAAGAAAGTGTACGTGTATTAGTCATTCGACATTTTATTGAACGAGCATAGAACACATGTTTTGTCCCGGTCGTTTGTCACATAAAACATGATGTTAAAGTGTACCCCAAGCCTATAAGTACATATGTAGTAAAATGTAAACAATACAATTTTATTAAACAAACGAAAAATAATTTTTTAGTCTCTCAAAATAAAATTTTGTACTAAATAATTATTGTGTAATAAAGTGATTAAAAAATACAATGTTCATACTTCACAGTAATATTATGTATATCATAAATTCATAACTAACGTATTATGTCTACCAGTAACCACGGTCCGTTTAAAGTTTTTTATGAAGGCTGCATAAAAGACAGAGTATCTATTATAATTTTTATTATTTCGTGACCGTACCCTTATATTTAAATCATTGTCCGTGCGATGAGCACTGAATTTTCCGATGAATTCGTATGGAGGTTAATATTAAACGCGTGCACCGCCATCTGCAGCAACGTATAGTTGTGTACCTATATGTTTTCTATGGTTTCGAAAAACGCACACGAACAGTGTTTTCAACGAGAACAGTTTTAAGTAGCTATATTAAAAAGGTAGCAGCGGGATAATATAATTTCCATAGAGCGGAAGCTGACTGTTTAATTGCTAAATGTGTACCTATTAAACGTGTACTATAAATATATACAGAGTGGTTCGCCTAACGTGTTACATTTTATGCTTTATATAACTTCTTATTAAAATTCTAATTTTTAGAAATTGTAAGTATTCCTAAAGAGACCATATTTTTAGTACTTAAAAACTCACTTGCATTACAATATTATTTTGATTAATACAATAAATTCTGATTTCTGAATAATGGTTGAAGATTTGTATAAATCCGTTTATTCCTATAAGAAACCTATGGATTTATATATATATAGATGATTTTTTACATTCTACTATCCTACTTTGTATGGCGCTTAGTCTTTGAAAAACATGTAGGTGTATACAGGGGCGGATTTAAGGCACTGTGAACTATGCAGTCGCATAGGGCGGCAAATTTATGGAGGGCAGCTTTTTATACGCAGTAAAATTGTATTTAATATTTATTTTATTCTTGTACCTACCTATAAAAAAATACTTAATTTTTTTCTTAAAGTTTTCAATTTAAAAATAAATAGTTAACATTAAAACTACTTATATAACCAAATAATTATTTAATACATTTATTATTATTTTTTTTTTTTTTTGTATAATAAGAATAAAGAGAAAATACTATATTTGAATCAAAACGTTTTTTATTGAACTTTAGTTAAATGAAAAAAATAATTGCATAATACATAGAAAATGTTATCATGTAAGGAAATTTTGTTGTACAGAGGTAATTTTTTTTTAAATAAGAGCGGTAAATTTTTTTTCTTTGGCATAGGGGCGGCAAATTGTTAAATCCTCCCTTGGGTGTATAGAACACTACACACGCATCGTTGTGCCAAAATTGATTAACTTGAGACTCATTTCACCTGACAAAATATATTATTCTTAAAGTTTACATAATACTTTATATATGCACTTTCAGACACAAAATCGGTGTGATTGAGAAAGGCCACAGATAATAACGACCATTATTCCACGAGACTGCAAGCTGATGAAAAATACCATTACTTTTATACAAAAAAAAAATATGCTTGCGGTCTGTGTGTTTGCCTCGTTTGGATCATGCAAGTTTAAAATCTCACTAGATCTCGACATAAATATTTCAGCGAAAACATTCCGTTCCTAAATTATAGTAAATTATATATAAATAGTGAGGCTCATAAATTATGACTCTTTATATGCAGGTAGCGGGTAAATTCGATCATTTAGATCGTCTTATAATATCATTGTAAATTGTAATTATTGTAAACGGTATACGTATTTGCGACAAGCCACAGATAATCGCTTTTTTTCGTCTGATTTTATCTAATTTATTTATCATTCTTAACCATCCAATATTTCTACGTCAGTTTCCCTAGGATTTCGCGCCAGGTGGCTTGAAAAGGTACAATTCACTTTAATATGACAATTGTTACACCATATGACACTAATTTTAGAATGCGGATCGTATTTACATTTTTTATGTGTATATATTTTATAAGTTTGAAAAATCTAAGTAATAAAGTAAACCGTGGTAAAATAGTTGGTATTAATTATTATGACATCGGGTGCCAAGTACCCCAGAGCCTTAATTTCTATTAAAGCCCTATTAAATCGAAAAATATCTATTGGCTTGATTTAAAATTAAATATATTTTTATTATTCAATCTACTGACATAATTCTATAACTGTTTTCGCAGATACCTAATAAACTAATTATTTAAAAATTATATTTTGATTGGGTTGCATAAAATATGCTTGCACCTCCGGCGATAAACATCTAGTTGCGACGCTGGTCACATAGTATATTATAATATATACATCAAAATTTAAATAAATACATAATTATGAATTAAAGGATGAGTTAGAAAGACGATTTGATAATTATTTTGTTAATCTCTCTATTTATGAATAGGTAATAGCCATTAGTTTCGTATGATATTGTTTCGACACGTGACCCGCATGACGCATTTTATATTGTATGCGACTTAAACGTACGAAATCGACAAAAGATAAAAATTTCTCCTCCTATTGCACATCAGTCTAAGTATTATAAAATTCTCCGACCAGCAAACCCAAGAAGAAAGTAAAATGTCACAACATTTATTGAATTTCAATAATATATAGGTATAAAATGTATCATGAAATAATGCAATAGGTATAATTTGACGTGTAATCCATTCCTTCAACTGTGGCAAAAGATGCGACAAAAGTCATTGTTCTAATAAATATAACAGCAGTATTACCAGGGATGAGAGGAGAGGGTTGAACGACGTTTAAAAGACACTATGCAGACACGGAAAGAACGAGTGAAATTTTTCGCGTGTGGGCTTGCGGACGAGTCGTCGCGGTGGAAAAGAGAAAGAATTAAAAACAAAAAAAAAAAAAAAAATTGAAATACCCGCTAACGACAATATTATTATTTATTATAATATTATATTATGTGTTTCGAATACTTGTCGTTATTTATTGCGATCGCGCGGTGAGCCGAGACGCGACGGCGACTGTAACGCTGGCGGGTCGAGCGATTGCAACGGCGGCGACGTTCGTTTCCGCTGCCGCTAGCTAGTGCGTATGGCGGGGAGCGCGGCTCGGCGGCGGTGCAATAGCGCGTCATTTGCACTCCATCGCTTCGCTCTCACTCACTCTCTGCCTGTCTGTCTGTTTCGCTCGCTCTCTCTGTTTCTTAGTCAATTACTATCTCTCGGTCTCTCGCTTATTCTCAGTCGCATAATAACGGTCTCTCGCCGGAACCGACCCGGTAACGGAACACACACGCAACACGCGTCTCGCCGTGTGTTGTACAGTACGTGCGGCGTTCCTTCCGAAACAAACATCGACTGCGCCGCGCTATCGGCGGTCATCACGTGTCTCGTTTCCGCCGCGGTCGTGTTGTTCCTTGTTCCGCGGACGCGTGTGCGGATCTTTGTACGGATATTGTTTTAAGCTTCGCGTGCGGCTGAGCGCGTGTTTGTCTGGAAATCGAGATTTTCTTTTTCCGCTCCCTGGGATTTTTTCCTCGAAAACCGCCTTTCCAAGTGCCACGCTGAGAATACCCAAACGTCGTTCGTGTGATACACTCGGAGAGTGTTCCGTGAACGCATTTCGTCGGTCGGTCTCTTTAAAAGGTATCTTATACGACACGACTGCGAGAGAACCGTTATTGCTTTTATATTCATACATAAAACGATGGATAATGGATTTCAGGAAGATGCACCGGAAAATTTCGAGAAATTTTTTTTCGACAATTTATATACGTCAGATAAGTAATAAGGTATTAATAAGTCCCAAATCTGTTAAATTGATTCGAAAAATGTACTAGTATTTTGAATATTAGTAATAATTTATTACTATGATAAATAATAATTGCAAATTGTTTAATATAATTTATAAATCAATATTATTTTTTTGACCAAAAATAGCTAAAAGGCTAGAAATAACTCAATACTATAATATTATAGGCAAAGTTTAATAAATGTTGGTCATTCAAAATACGCGATGTGCATTAAGATTAGATATTATATTGTATTTTCAAACTCTGAAGTAAAATCAGAAATTATTTTTTGATTAATAATCAATCATTTATTAAAATACATAAACATTAAACATTTTAAATTCATATTATACTTAGCAATATGCAACGCAGGTTTGGTAATGTGCAGGTAAAGCGTACAAGCGAGTGTTGAAGCAATAGTATAAACTATAGTTTATAAATAGTCTGATTTCATATTCAATAATTGGCAATTATTTTTAGTAAAATTATTGAATATATTATTACTATTAAAATACCTATCGCAGTACTGAAATTATATAAAATAGTATTAAAAAATCATTATTAATTTTGAATTTAAAGATTCCTTCAAAACGGATAGTTTTATAGCCATAAGTGCAATATATCGCTTAAAAATATATATCATTCCATCCATGAAATAAATACATGAGTGTATAAACCATATTAATATCGGTTATCAGTATAGGTGTACATTAATTTATTGTTATAATAATCCATGTAGTGAAATCGATAGGAATATGCACCATAATAATATAATATAAACGTAAATATAATCATTATTATGTTATTACCGTTATTAGTGTTATTAAAACATAATTGACAGGATATTTTTAACACGTTCCTTACTGATCAAAATGTGTATAACACGGCCATTATTATTACATTTGAAATAATTCCTTACACATAATTTATAATAAATATTATATAGACGAGGCTATTAATAATGAACTTCTTTCAAACGTTTTTTACAATGTCTTGATCGGACACACTCCACAATAAATTATACGAACTATATTTCTATATATTCGATATAATCTACATTTGATGTCGCTCAATATATACTCGTATTTTGATGGTGACAAATACATTAATATCGTAGTCACCATACAGTTTAAAATATTCCATTCATCATCATACGATAGTAATGTACTAAATAAATTATATACAACATAACAATAATTATAATGTTATTACACGTATCATACAGTAAGTATAATCCGAACACTACGAATGCGATCTTATATCCCATTACCTAAGTAATATGTTTTATAATATTTGATTTGATTTTTCATTTATATTTGTAGGGAATTTTAATTTCACCGATAGTATGATGATAATAATTATTGACCAATTATAATTATTATGAATAGCGTTCAACGGTAAATATGTAATTAAAAATTCATAAAGTTAGCGATCGTTTGAAGAACCACATTACTTGTACATAAAAACTATTTGATCACCAAAGCCTTATAAAATTCAACACCTATGCTTGTATTAACTATTTTTTAAATAAAATTTAAGTTGAAATTATTATACTTCAACCATTAAAACATGGCTAATAAGATAGAAAAAATAAACTTAAAAATTGTGTATTTTAAATTGATAACATAATAAGAGGAGAGACCATTCATTTTTGAAAAATTCAGATCGAGAGAAGAAAAAAGTTTTTTAAATTTAGTCTAGTGAGGTAATTATAAATACTCTCCTCAATTAGTATAATTTATGAAATCAATGCGATCTCGCCATTGTTAGGGAGAGTAGAGTACGTGTATTACGATCGAGCCCCTGGTTGAATACATGATTGGATAGAGAATTGTGGTTATTTTTTACATAGCTAATTTTACAATAAATACGTGGTTAATATTTATAAGAATTGAAACTAAGAAAATAAAGAGACGCAATAAAAACTATTTTTAAAAACAGAAATTCCTCTCTGGCAGATTTTCCCATTCGAGTTTCCTATATACATATACTTCACACATAAAATTACAAAACAATATAACATAATTTACTTACGATGATAATGAGGTCCATATTACTATATAAGTATTGATTTTTAAAATAACAACCAACGAAAATCGTCCTAGGCGCGAGTATCAAATCTATTTTTATAAATTATAAACGTACCTCATCACTAAATACTGAAAGAAAAAAATATGCGAAATACACATTATTATAGTTATGTTGATCTAAAATGCTCGACATTTTACTAAATTCTACCTTTTGATAGATCGACTACAGCTCCACACCATCGATTATTACTTATTTTTATCTCGTCGTTTGTTTACCTTAGATGAAGACCCGATCGTCGGTATAACTCTGTGCGCACAAAGAGCAAGGCTGAAACGCATCGTCGTGCCCTGTCCCATCACAACGTTGCCACACAGTCGGACAGCCACGCGCCGCAGCGATGGGCAACTCGAACAGCCACGGCAGCAGCACGTCGTACGCGACCGGCGGCGACGCCCGTTCAATACCGCCGCATTCGTGGGCCTACTCGTTCCCGCGGTCACAGTACTTCAGGCCGCCAACCTCCGGGCCCAAAGTGCTGCCGACGCACGTGCCGGGCCAACAACCACGGCTCAGGGCCACCGAGAACGGGTCCATGCTCCATACGGCTGGCACCATAAACGGTAAACGGCCATACGAATATCTTCACCGGGACGACGTGAGTATAATGTTTGCGATGTACGCCAATATATTTTTTCCAATTAGTGTTATTCGTGTTTATGATTTAAAAATTATTAAGATTAGCCGTCTAAAATATGCCATAAAAATCATGAATGTATGGAAAAAATATGTTCAAAAATTGTAAAATATAAATTACCTAATTGTAAAAATTATTTAAACTAAATTTAATAACTTAATTAGATATTCCATATTATTCATTGCAAAAAATCAAGTAAACTTCTTATTAAAAACAATTGATTATATTAAATTTTATATCAATGTATCAACCGAAAAACGATTAATTTATCAACATTTTTATGACTACTAACCTAAATTATTAAAAAGATTTACTCGATGGTGAAATATTATTTTACACCTTTATTAAGTCGGTCTTAAAAATAGTATAAATATTTTATTTTATTTCACTTAAATATAAAATTTTGTCGAAATATCAATAAATATATTTATGTATTTTGTGTAAGTATAATTAATAATTATCATCAAATATGCAGAAATATGCCGAACAATTTATCCTAATTGACTTAGAGTTATTACGATTCTCAAGTTACTAACAAAAATTCACGCTCTAGACTAATGATTATCCTATGTAGTGTGATAAAAGCTCAATGTAATTACTTTTTAAACATTTGTATTCAAATTGTTATTGCTGGTTAGCGATCACACTAATAAATAAATAAATATCTACTATTCATTATTGATCTCTATACTTGCTTCCGTTTTACTTTAGAATAATTACTGATTTAGAACCGGTCAGGTTTAACACTTAGGATATATAAAGTGGTCCTAGAAACACTTAAATTGGAAGTATTTTACTTAACCATTGAAAAAAGTTACTCAATGGCATTTATTGCTTTAAATGTATTACAATTAATATACATGTTTTATTTAACATAAACTACTGGTGTTGTTAGTTATTATTCTTGAATATGGTACATTTATTCTCCCCGTGGTTATTACGGGTTAATTAAAAAATGTTTTAATGCTTATAATACTGTTTATATTTATATTCTCTTTCTTTTTTTAGAAAAAGTAATTAACATCAATACAAAAATTATTTAATTATTTTTATATTGAATTCTATATTTTATTATTTATTTTTACCTAACAGTAAAATAAAATAAAATTAATGTTATGCTGAAAAAAAAAATATCAATCAATCTTTCATTTATAACAACTCCATAAATATTTTTGACCATGAACCCGTTATTTAAAAATAAAACCATAAAAATCATATAAATCCTTGAAATATTGTATTAAAGGAAATACGTAAGTATATACGTATCGTGTTATAATAAAATATAAAATAGGTATGGTATATTATAATGATAACTAAAAAATAGAGCATGATACTTTCCATACTGCACCTAAACACATCTGTACCACGTTTGCCTATCTAAAACTCCCTTTTACAAATAACGAATACAAAATATTGTCTAACGTCACTAGTACTTTTATATATAATAAATAATAACAAATCATGTTTTTAAAAGTTTCATAAACCAAAATTATTCATGTTTGTTAAACCTTTTAATCGTTTAATTAAATTTTTATAGTCAATAACTGCTTCAATAATAATCTTAAATATACCAATTTAATTATAATTTGATTTAATTCTCAATCTATTTTTTAATCAAAATACTAATAACACAAATTGTTAAAAAAAAAAAACTAATTTTAAATAAAATTTGACTGAAAGTTTAAATACATAGGTATTTATTATAACTTAAATTCAATAATACAAATAGTATAAAAATTAAATTTGAAAAAAAAAATGTGAAATGCATTAATTAATATATTATACTATGACAATGTGAGCTGAATATCTACATAAATATGTTTGTGTGGACATTTTTAAGTTTAAAATAATTAAATCTTTATATATTATTTTCACTATGACATATTATTTACTTAATAAAAATCAAAAAAATTAAAGTATTTAAAAAAAATTATTTTAGATCCAACATGGATATGGATACGAAATTCAAAGACACGTTCCTAGAGATGGAAGACGAGATCGTATGGGGTACAATATGTATACCAGTGAACCAGACTTACGGTTTTCAGACTCCCGTCAACTGCCACCAATGAATTACCAACATCATCACAATCACGGAGATAATGGTGCTGTCAAAGGCAGAATGTCTCGATCTAAAAAAAAGTACAGAGCTCCTCAAGTGCCACCATCTTCGTCACATCATAACGGAGTGAGTGCATGTGTTAGAAAATATTCTTTACATTTCAAGACGTACCTATAATAAAACCAGTTATTATGGTTATAATATAATTATGTCAAACATAATGTATTTATATTTTTTTTTTTTTTTTTAATTATGCAAAAACTAAAATATTATTCGAAATTTATGTATACATTTTACATGAATTGTGGATAAAAGTAAATAGGAGATTTAAATATTTAACAAGCGTATATTATAGTACGTTATACGCATCACCTGTAGAATGAGAATTTCTTCAGTTATTAAATGACTATATCTTGGTTTACCTATTCAATTTAACTGAAATTCGGTATTATTATATAAGTTACGTGTTTTATTTTTCATAGATGGACAGCTCTTCTCCGGACTCGTATCAACATTGGGAAAACCACAGGGATAATAGTAGATCTAGTCAAAATAATGGTATGCCGAGATTGAGGTTATTTAAGACTAGAGCAGAGACAAAACGTAAAATCAGCAGAGATGAATTAAAAAATGAAGAGTTTCAACCTGAAGTTAAACCACAACCTAGCAATCTACATCGAAGCATGTCTTCTCCGCAATTTCAAGTAAGTTTATTTTTATTGTACTTTTAACGAACTGTCAAGTTTAAAGATTGCTAGTCAATATCACATTTTCTTTATTGCATGAAGAAAACTTAATATAATATATGATATAAATTATGATACTAGTTATGTAGGTACTGAAATTAAAATAATATAAAATATTTACAACGTAATATCCTTGGAATATCAAAAGAATAATTTTACATGATATTAAATAGGTAGTTCATAATGTCATATTTGACTTTCTGGCTGTATAACAATAAAAAAAAAGTTAAATTATATTTATTTGTGCACTTTTTAAAGTTTTTAAAAAAATAAAGTATTCTTCATTAAAAAGTACATGTTTTGTAATTTGAAATTTATAATAAATATATAGTAATATTATATTTAATTATAAAAACTAACTTTAAATATTTATCTAGACTATAAGTAAATAAAATATTAAAATATACAGTTCTCTGATGACTATTGTTGCTACGGATGTATATTAAAAAAAAAAAAGTAGGCAAGAAGATACCATTATGTTGTACATTAGGAGTTGAGTTAATCACTATTATGGGTGTGTTAAATTTGATTTCAATGTTATTTCATTGTATACGAAAAACAATTCTGAGTAAAGATGGTCAAGCCTATAACACCAAGTATAATTGTGATATGTTTTTGATCTAACTATTAAAGTCTATAGCTATTATTTTACTTTTAGTATTTTAAATAGATGGACAATTTTTTTTCCAAAAATATTAAATTTATTATATTATGAGTTATAATATGCATACAAGTTTTAAATTCGACGAATAATGTTTTTAACTATAATAAAATAATTAACATTACTATTTATCGTTAAAATAAATGATTTCGTTCAAATTTTTCTTAAAATATCTGTAAAAAATAATTGTTTTAATACTTTTAATAAATTTTCAAAACTGATTTACATAAAAAGAAAAGTTTTTATTGATTTTAAACTATTTAATAATTACCAATTTCTTGCTACTTTAACAAATTTTATCAAAATTCTTACTTAAAATGCATGTAAAAAAAAAACTGTATTAACAACTACTGTACTGTATTAACTATATTAACAATTGCATAATATTTTCTAAAATTCTTCCGCAAAAATTAAGATATTAATGTTGTATCAAAATATATCAATGTAAAAAATTATTTAATAATGAACTTACCTATATATACTTTATCATTCGGATAAATATTTTAAATTGTAAATTATATTTTTGGGTTCAGGAAGCTTGGAATTCGTGTTTATGCTCGCGGTTTATTTATAGCCTAGATTGTAATAGACAAAACGACAAGTGATATATGTGTAAAACATCTAACTTGTGTTACTGTCACAAATGAAAATTACAAGCGGAAGGCTAATTAAAAATCAATCAATACAATTTATTTTAATTTTGGTAAAAATTACAATACGTGCTCTATCAGTAATATATGATAAGTGATGAAAATTAATTATCTTTAGATTAGCGCAAATTGAAATAGACATTTTTAATTACTTGTAATGTTGCAAATTACAGATTACTTCCTATATCCTATACGTATATTTATATTTTATGTTTATCGTTCATTTTATTATTCTAGAGTGCTTGCCTAATATTTCTGTAATATAATCCGATTTAAATCAACCTTATATTCAACAGCAAGCTTGGATATACCAAATTACTAAGGTCAATTATATGACGCAAAATAACTATTAACATTTTTAATCAACTCAATTAAAAGTTCATTTCATGATAGAATATTAAAGTTTAAAAAAAAAACTAAAACTAAAAAATATAGTATGCAAATATAAATCAATCTAACTAGCATGCACTATAATTATAAGGTTTTTCACAAATCCTTGCATATTTTTTATCATTATTAAACCTTCATCACCCCTAAACAAAATGTTGACGTCCAGCATATTTGACCCCTCCGCATAATGTACCTTACTCTTAAAAACGAGCCACTGTTTCGTATAACAATGTAACAGCTGCTGATTTTCGACGGGGCGTCCTTTGTCGTGTGGACCAGTTAGTATTTAGCATTTACGCAATAGAGCAGCTAGCTCGGATTTAGAAATAATAGGAAATCTTCCGGCACGCGTCAAATTTACAATACCGGTTAGGTACCCTAGGTGAGCATATTAATAATCTTTGAAATTATCACCCTATTAGATTTTTTAAGTAACAAAAAAAATTGCATTTGTAAAACAAATATTTAATTTGTCTATGAACTTATATAAATTGAAATTATTTTTTTATCATTTTTATTATTTTCTTCAAAAATCTGTTGAAAATAAAATATTTACTCCTCGGAAGATTTTTAAAGGGTTTTAATAATAACAACTTTAAATGTTAAATTTATTTATCTTTGTTTTTTAGGCTGAATTGAAACGTGTGACTGAAAGGCTGAGAGAAAAGGAATTCCGTCATCCACCCGTAGGTCGCGCTTCGGAAAGCTCGTCTAATCCGGTTTCCGAAGATCGTACGGCTGTTGTCACTGACAGTGATAAACATCGCGAAAGCCCAATGAACTCTAACAGACAACGGTTAATGGCTGACCGAGCTAAACGAATGTCCAGATCAATTCCAAATCTCGCAACTAAATTACAAGAAGATGATGACGTTCGATGCACGGGCGAGGGTTCGTCAGCCACAGGTTCCAACGACGAAAATAAGATCCACAACAAACAAGATAAGCAAAAAACGAGGTATGCCCTGTAAGAAATAGTAATCAATTATTTCAATGATTCAAGTGTTTAATATATTTTTGTCGTTTAGTGTGCCAGATATTAAACCAAAAACTTTCTATTTTGGTATGAATGAATTCAACGATACGACAAAGATTAGTAGAACCTCAGAAGACGTCGATCGATTCGCTGAGAGCTTTAACAAAACGAACGCTTCACCTTCTAATAGTATTACTAGCAGCGACCCCACAGACGAGGTATAAGTCAAAGACGGTCTTATTTCAATAATAATTATTATCACATGAAATATACTTTTAATTTTTACCTAGTTCAGTTTGAAACATTCTATGAACTCAACATTTTGTCAACTAATTAATTTTTTTTATTAAACTGGGTTTTTTTATTTTTATTTTTATGAAAGTAAATTAATATAATATTTTTGTTAATATGTATGTACTACTTATATCTGTTTATTTTTATATAACAAAAACAATTAAATGTTTTCCCTTGCACATTTTAATTTTGGATATAAATTAGGAATAATATTTCATATTTATTACACCATGACTAAAACTTAAAAATATCTTATTTCTATATGTATATATTTTAGAGCGGTGGTGATATATCTCTTCAACTAAGACCCACATTACCAAGAAAACAGTTTGACATCCCTAGATTTAGTCCAACAGCTGCTTGGCGCTTGCTCACTGCTTTAGAAAGTCCTTCACCAGTTAGTCCTAACTACAGCGGCGGAGAAGAAGACTTAATACCAATTATAGATCAACCTCATAATTCTGGTGATAAATCCGGAGATAGTGGTATTTCTGGAGATGCTAGTCCTAATTCAGCCCATAATTCACAGGTAATTCATAAATAACATTTTTAAAAATATGAATTTACTATAAATTATAATATTATAACTTTTAGGTTGCTTGGACTCCACAGCAAGACTTGGAAGAAACAAGTTCAGATGGAGGATTGGATTCAGCACCAGTTTCACCTCAAAGTTTAGATACCACACAATTTTCAAGAACTCGTACAGTCGCTAAGCCAAGTTTCTGTCTATCCCTACCCAGAGATGAAAGTACAGGAATTGATAAAAGATATGGACAATTAGTGAGTTTGATTATTAATAGAAGTATTTTATATTTATTAAAACAATAAAATGTATTGTATACAGAATGAAGATTTTTCGCCAATGAATCCGCCCAAATCTCATGGTTACTTCAAATCTAAGTTAAGTAGAGGAAAAGCATCGACAGATAGAAACAAATCACAGTTAGATGAAAACTGGGTGTTAAGTAGAAGTGTCCCAGATTCATTGCATCAATCAGGCTTAGTTGGTAATTTTCCATCTCAAAATTGGAATCAGCTAGAATGTCAAAATGGAGAAGAACCTTCTGATGAAGAATTAGCTATGTCATCTTTACCAAAGTTTTCATATTTAGCTGCAGGCAGAAGAGCTATGTATTTACCAGAATACAAATCGTTAAACTATTTATATCAAAAGTAAATTTAAATCTCTTAATAACACTTAATAAACTGTTAATAAAATTCTTTTTAAATAATAATTTAATTCACAGGGATACAACAAATGTACCTCAAAATAAAACCATTGTATCAAAGTCATGTGAAGACCTCACAAGAGATGAATTGGAGGATGAAGAGTTACCAGTTATGAATGAAAGAACAAAACAAAAATCGACAAATAAAAAGTTTGCATTTCAAAGTACAATACGACAAATTGAACGAAAGAAAATTGCTGAAAAGTTGTCAAAAGAAGCAGAGTACAAAGGTAGATATGCACATTTACATATTTAAAATATTTATATTTTATTTGATGTAATTGATTACAGAACGCCAGAGACTTAGTGAAATGGAGGCAATGCGTCGAGTGGAAGAAGAGTTTCAGCGAAAACGAGAAAGAGAAAAGGCAGATATTCGACAACAGTTGAGACTGTATACATTAACACAAGGTGATAGAGAACCAGCACAACCTCTTCCATCTGGTACTCAAGTACTTTCTGAATTTAGAGAGTCAAGACGTGACTATAAAGATTACAACTCTTCCAGGTAAAAATTATTTAATACTGAAAATATTTAATAACAAATAAATATACTTAACTAAACTATCTATCTTAGAGTTGAACATGAACCTAGTAACCGTTCAGAAACTCCAGTGAAAAAATCTACAACTGTGCATCCAAAAGTTGTATACCAAATGCCCAAAAGTACTCCAGTATATGTGACACCAAATAGTGTTCGTAAGCAATGCAATGGAACTGAAAAGGGATCAACACCAACATCCGGAAATTACAGAAGAGACTTTGCTCAAGGGGCCCTTCCACGTTCTGTGGCAAGTTCGGATTCAGAAGTGTCTGTGTCGATTACTCGACCAACTTCACGTACAAAGCATAGAAGCAGGTAGATAAATCATTAATTTAAACCTGTTATACCATAAACCATAGTTACTAAATGTCTAAAGTTAACAATTATATTACATATATTACCTAATTAAAACATATTACTACTTAGTAAATTTGAAACGCATGACTAATTCAAATACATATACTTAATACTTAACAAAAACACTACAATAATACAAAAATTTAACAAAACTAATAAGTAATAAAGTATTGATTTAAAAACATTAAACATAAAAATTTTTATGACATCATTAAGTTTAGTTTTGAATATATTTTAACAAATTAGTTAACTATAAACAACAAATATTAGGTATAACTTTTAATATCTAATTAATATATTAATTTGTGATATTTATATGACCATTGGGGTAAGTGTTAGACATATTGGATTTTAGGAGAGGGGTTAGAAAATATAGATTTTTTTTAAATAAGGAATATTTCTTTTATATGACCTATAAACAAAATAATCATACTATAACAATCGGTTACAAATTTTAAGAAAAATGAAAATCAACATTACTTTTCAAAAATTAAAATTAAATGTCAGTGACTTTTCTTTATTTTTTAAAATTGTTTACATACTTTATTATAACTACTCCTGACAAACAAAATAAACCTAACAATGTCAACAACTTCTCACAAAGCTTCAATAAACTTAACAATAAACATATTGTAAATGAAAATATTAACTGCTATCATGCTTTGGTTAACAATTCTAACACAGGTTTTAGCAAGTATGGAGTTCGGGATTAAGTGTGTATTCTAGTCAACAAATATTCAAGTCACCATTTCACCAATATAGGTTGGTAGTAAATGTTACTTGGTCATTTTAAATTGTAGGATAATGTTTTTATTTTATCCATCTAGATCAGCCAGTCCAATATCTGATCAAGAAAACAACGACACTGGAATAAATCTTAGTTATGTACAAATTATAAAAAGCTTAAAACAAAAACAAAATAACGAAACAGTAAATATCTTTAGAAATAAATCTTTTTATGCATAGGTATTTAATATGATTAGTGATTTTTTTTTTTTTTTTTTATCAGGAATTAAATGAAGTTACCAATGAAAAGATTCCAGCTAGTTCTATAGTTGGTATAAATTCTCTACAACCTTTTATGAAAAATAAAAATTCAATGTACAAACCTATTGTTTTCAATCCGATAAACAAGAACAAATTTGCTCAACCATTGATGTAAATTTTTATTATATAATTATTTACTTAATTTTTAATGTATTTCTATTCTATTTAAATTAAATAATTTACTTAATTAATTTCATCAGAAATTATTAGCTAATTGTTATATATATACATATTTTATAAATATAGTCATGAATCATGATTAATTAACTTAGTTAATCATATAAATAGTAATATTCATTAGTTATATTTTGTATATCAAATAAATTATATAGTTTTAGTTAATTCAAATATTTTGTTTTTCACTTTAAGTGTTATTTATATTAATTTCAAGTTAACAAATTATATGTTTCAATAATTGTTATCTTATTTTATTAAGTTAAGATTGGAAATGTACAACATTATAAATGATTCACACATGTTATTATTTTTAAAATGATCACTTTTTATTTAATTTAGGTGTTATAAAATTAAAATACCTACTCCATGTTGATTGCCATAATAAAAATTGTTTAAATACTTATATCTAATAATTGTATTTTATGTTTATGATTATTTATTGTTTAAAAATTTATTTAGATCATGATTATCTACTTAAATTGTACTTGGCACTAGCTTACATAAGACAGCTCGTGGAGTATAAAATATGTAAATAAAAAATACTCAATTTATTACTTGTAAGTAGTCTGTAGAACAAAATTACTTTGTTTAGAATACATTTTATGCTGTGAGTTTTTTTGAGATAAAAGAAAATCTATTTTCTAAGCGTAAAAATAGTGCAGATAGAATACTTCTGCAATAGTTGAAGAATATACAACTTTAGCAAACTTAAAAAAGCAAGTGTTAAGCATTTTACTGTAAACCACAACAAAAACTTTATATACTCAAAATATAGAATGTCTCTAGAAATCAGCAAGATGGCAATAAAATGTTAAAGAATGTAAGTTTATCAAAATTTTTAAAACAATCAAAATTTTATTTTCTTTGATAAATAATTACTAATAAAGCATTTATTATTGTAGTAAAACTCTTTCTTGCATTAAACCACTTTTACATATTAAAAAAAAAAAGAAAAGAAAAAAAAGTAGTCTTATATAACAAGAAAAGTACCATTTTTTCAGCTTACTATAAATGAATTAGATCTTTCATTGTAATGATTAATTTTATATTTATTAATTTATTATTTATATCTTAGCATTTATAAATATCATATTAAAAAAATAATAATTAAAGCCTACTAGTCTTATCATGTAGGGAACTTTTTAAGAAATTCTATTCAGACGTTTTTACTATTAAATACTAAAAATTTATTAAAATGTTTAACAAGTATTTCTAAAAAAAAAAAAAGAATCTTTTGGTGAAAATTTGATTAATTTATGAGAATTCAAAACTCTTATAAAAATATTAGTCCTATAGCTTAAAAATTGTCAATTTTTTTAACCCTTTCGTTAAAAAATTGCTAAAATTTTTTTTTGCATTAGGAGGTACTTAGTAATACAGAAAATTCCTAGCTTCTGTTCTAAGTAACAACATTACAATCAATATCAGTGTGCAAAATTTTCCTTCGGAAATTTTATTTATTGGCAATAGCAATCTAAAAATAATTTATCCTATAGTTAAAAATTAAATTTTTTTTGGAATAAGCTCTCAACGGCCAACAGTAACAATTAAAAAACATTTTTGTTTGTACTATGCACCTACATTACAGTTATCAGTAACTGTTCGATTGTCTAAAAAAAAAAAAAATTATACAATTACTTATTAAAAAATAAAAATACTTGATTTTTGTTGTCGCTGAGCTTACGAGTTTTTGGGGTAGTCATGTATATTATTCTAACTTAAAATTTCTGTACTTCATTAAAAATTTTAAATTAATACATTTATTGACTATAGTTTTATCAGAAAGTTTCGTGTATAAGTTATTAGTTATTACGTTACCTAACAATTACCATGTTATTTAGTTTATCTAATATTTATTTATAGATGCAAATAAAACCATATCAATCAGATAATTGTATACAATATTCACAGTCATATACTGCCAAAGCAATAAGGATTTAAAAAATATGTTGTTGGTGACTGGTGTATTAGTTTATCGACACATTTATTGCAATTTGCAGTTGTATTAAATTTAAAATCATACTGAATTATTGGCATGTATTATTACCTAGGTATAACATGATATTTTAATGTAGTATAATAATTGGTGGATATTAGGTCAAACGTTGAAACGTATGTATTTGATATTTTTAATCAGGTATTACGTAATTAAACAGGCTTCGACTTTCAACTTAGTGAAAACTCAAACATGCATATTGGTGTACAAATGTAAATAAAGTAAAAATATGTTTATTTTTGTATTGAATATTAAATTCCAGCTTTGACAACTAGACTTATATTAGTATAAATGCATTTTCTCAAATTATTAGAATAATTAACATGCTATACTTATATAAATTTAGAAATAATATATTTGTTTTAAAGCTGTTGGAACAGGAAATTTGGAATTTTGGCAATTTATTTATGTATGAAATGTTTTTGAACATTCATTAATTTACTTGTGGAAACTAATAAAAGAGAACAATTTTCTGATATTATCAGTGGTTCGATTTCAATTTCGTTAAAAAATTAATTGTCTTCATTAACCTTTACAACTAAATGTATAAATATAGAATAAAAAATAATAATTTTGCATATTAATTTATTTAAAAAACAAAAAATGTACTTTAAGACTTGTTAAATTAAAATCATACATACGTTTAAAATAGTAATTGGACATCGGTAAATATATAGACTGCCCTTCTATTCATCTGAAAATAAATAATTCATCTTACCTCTTAAACGTTTATATAAATTGCGCATGACAACGTCATTTTGGCCTTTTAGTCTTTAGGTATATAATATATACCTACTCCACTATTTATCATAATATGTATTATTCGATCACATATGAGTGAATTTATAAGACTGTATGTCTATATAAGTCTACGGCTTTATATTATAATATAGGTACTTCTTAAACTTTCATAGAAACCAAGTTGACCAAAACAATCCCGCGGTTTTAATTTTTTCATGGAATATATTGTATTATATTTATATAAGCGTACTTCATAACCTTAGTATGTATACACTATACACTTCGTTTCGCGCTTTTTTCGTAGTCTAACCTTAAATATTAGAACTATCGAAATGCGAATGTCAGATATTAGATAATATTACCAGGCATTGTATAAGCTGATGCGTAGATAGAAAAAAAAACTCAGTTGTCAATACCAACTATTTTATGCAAATAATTGTACCTATGCATGAAAGCCAAAAATTAAATTACACAAACGCGCAATCTAAAGGCGACATTCGTCTATTATAGTAATATTTTGTTGTTGTATATTATGCATGTTGCCATATTGGTACAAGTGTGTATACTAGGTACCTACTTACTGAAGCGTACAAAACTGTAACTATAAATCGTATTAAACAATATAATATGTATCAGAAATTTTATTATATTCCTTGATTTGTATCTAATATTGTATGGTATTATGTTTATGCAATTTACCTTCTTAGATTTTCTAAAATTATAGGTATCCTTATTTTCTGTCTATAAAATCATACATAAATTGTCGTTTGTATGATTAAATTTTAACGATTCCATCCGGAGACTGTATTGTTTTAAACCACAGTATCTATCATATTACTATGAATTATTATTTAATTTGTAGGTATAATGTTGTTATTCAAATTTTGATGTTATAGATTTGGTTTCAGTTATACCTATAGTTTTTTTTCTTCAAAACATCATTCGATTGCGCTAATGATCACTGATAACATTATACCTATATAATATTATATTGTTTAATCTAAATTGAACGCTAGAATTAAGGCAAAAACATTCAAAACAACTGCAAATGGGTAAGTGAATAAGGTTCGTTAAAAATATGATTCATGACATTTGTGTACAATATATTTAAATATATATCTAAATTTAAGCCAATAAACTATAATAATTAATGCAGTATTATAACTATTATACGTAATATGAGTAATTCCCAAAAAATTTATTTTCTGAGATTATTTTCAACACATGACGTATACTACGTAGTGTTACATCGAAGTAGGTACATTGCCTATATTCACTTATCGGGAATTTTTATTATTGCCACGTTCTTCCAGTATAGGTAGTAATGATACTAGTATAATACTATAATATAATATTACGACATTATACTATCATTTTTTACACCAAAACTTTTTATTATCACTATTGAATCCATTGTACATAATAACTTACTAAATTTATATATTATGTAATACATTACTAGCTAAATCTATAACCGATAACAGAGAAAATAATTCAATATTAAATTTCTACATATTTTTACATATTTTCTGATATGAAAGTATACTCACTACTCTTAGCAGGTTAAAATTAAAATATAAAACAGAATTTCTGTATTTCTAATGATTTGAAAAATAACTTGCTTAGGGTTGCTCTCAGTTCTATTGTAATGCAGTTCAATAATTATTGATAAAATAAAAAATAATCTGTGTTACAATGATAGCTTTGTCAGCTCACCACTACGAAACAGCAATTTATACACTTTTATACTAGAAGTAACTAATTTGTATTAATTTTAATATAAAATTCAGAATTTTTAATCCAAAATTTTACCCTTGAATTAATGTTGTAGTGTTAGGTGTACTGCCGTATTGGGTTAATGTCACTACAGAAGCTCAATACATCAAAACTAAAAATTTTAGTACCTATAGGCTATAGTAAGTGTTCAGTGAACCACTTTACTGATTAGGTTACCGTTACTCGGTTGCTATTTAATGATAAAAATTGCTTACGAAAAATGGTTATTATGAGGACGTCGCACCCGCGTCCCACATGTGTTATCTCCGTCTTACATACATATAAGTATACAACATAGCAAATTTTCGTTCAGCAGAAACCATTTTATGTTGTTAGCTTTAATATTAGAGTAAGTTTACCTATTATCAAACTTAAAGGTAAGAATTTTATCTAAGCCAATACATAAGCTTTTATTGATATTTTAATTTTAAAGTGAGTTATAAATATGTAAACTTTAAAATGTTTATAACTCATTTTAAAATTAAAATATCAATAAAAGCCTTTGTAATGGCCTAAATAAAATTCTTACCTTAAAGTTTGATAATAGGTAAACTTACTTTACTATTAAAGCTAACAACATAAAATGGATTCTACTAAACGAAAATTTGCTATGTTGTATGTATGTAAGAAGGGGATAACACATGTGGGTGTGACGTCCTCTTAAGTATATTTTATAAAACCAAACAAACCTCCAGATTCTCCAGGCTCATATAGACCTAAGCTCATTACCTTTTTTTTCTAAAATTTATGAAAGATTTATTCTTCAACGATTATCCCTTCATTTTATATTAAATAACATTCTTACCTTTCATCTCAATTTTGATTTCAATCTAAACAGCATAATTCATAAGTACACCGTCTAGTAGATGTTATATCAACCTCTCTTAGATATAACTAGGTAATACTGTTCTTAATATGTCTTTTTAGATATTTCTCAAGTATTTAATAGGGAATGGAATGATGGCCTACTTTTCAAATTTTGGAACTTTTTTTTCCATCACTATTTTTTTTTTAATCAAATCCTATCTAACCGATCGATATTTGCAAAACCGCTTTGGCTCCTGCAGTACCTCACAAATGGCTAGAATCAAAGCAGGCGTATCCCAAGATAGTATAATACTCAACATCTATGCCTCAGATCAACCTGTTTTGCAAGACACCCTTAATGACGATTACGCTGACAATAAAGTTGTAATTTCAATTCATGAAAATCCCCTTATATTTTTTGGTAATTTCCTAACCGATCTAAATCTTATTTCATTATCGTACGCCAAATAGAGAATTAAATTGATCAACAACGAGTAAATTCATACCCGCACCTTTACTTTAAAACACGGACTCTGTCCACCAGTTTCAGTAGATAACATAGTTTATACTAGGAGTCACCAATTAATATTTTTGAAAGGCCACATTAGGAATCAGAAAATTTTTCGCGGGCCATCAAAATTCTAAGTACATATTTTTAACATATGATGGGTATTATTTTAAAATTGAATATAATAAGAAAATATTATCATATTAAATATATGTTACTTATTCTTTGTTTACGGCCCGGATAAAATTTGTCCAGGGGCCGTATACGGCCCGCGGGCCGTTATTTGATGACCACTAGTTTATACCTTCATCCAGTACAGTTAAATATTTAGGCCTCACTTTAGACAAATAATTAACTTAAAATCTACACATAAGATCCAAAAGATTAATTTTAAACTCTCGTTTTCGTATGCTTAAAACTGTGTTGTCAAAAAATAAATACAAAAGTATAAAAAATAAATTGCTAATTTACAAGTCATTTTTAAAACAAATTTAGATTTATGCGGTATTCAACTGTAGGCCGCTACAAATAAATCAAATTTAAACAAAATCCAAAGCTTACTTAAATATTACTCTATGTTAACTTACTAATGCTCTACTGTACATTTCAACTCAAACACTCCAAAATTATTGGTAAATATATATTTTGGCTAATTTCGGCAAATATTTGAAATGGAACTTTCCACCAAAATGCTTAAAAGTTTAATTATTAAAATATTTCAACCTAATATATTACTAATATAAAAATAAATTTAAAATAGCTATATAAATAAATACTCATCTCCGCTCAGAATCACAAAGCACAAAGACTTATCATTAAATTCAAATTTAAGTGTTAACACATCTATTACAATAACTTACTCAATGATAAAATAGGTAAATGGGCGACTCCAGGGGAGATAAGACGAAGCTTTTGCCCCCTCCTAGAATTTTAAATTTGTTACTTAAGTATAATAATTTAATGTAATAATGACGAAAAATAAAAATATTTTATAAATAAAATGTATAATACAAATACCTAAATGTAATAATGACGAAACATGATAATATACAATAAATAAAATGTATAAAAAAAATCTTCATTTATTTTTTAAATAAATGTTGCACTCCCTCCCCCTTTAGATAAAAAATACACTCAAAACTATACCGACTGTAAAGTGACTCCTGATTTTATATGATTATTATCTATCTAATTTTTTACTAGGATACATATTATACATCACGCCTATATCATTCTTATAAAAGTTGAAACGTTTCTATGATATTTGTATAATTTTAGCACCATTACAGTCCTACATTTCGCCTGCAGCAGTTGCACAAATGTTAAAAAAATACATTTTGTTTATCGAAAAATTATAATATACATCTAAAACAGCGGTTTCCAAACTTTTTCAGCCTCGGAGCCTTTTTTTAAGGAGAAGTTTCTCATGGAGCCCCAAGAAATGTTTAACGTTCATTTGCATTTGCTTGTGTTCTATGAAGCATAATTAACACGAACTGTATACATACGGACAATAATGAACGGAGCCCTTGGGAAACTATTGCGGAGCCCCAAGGGCTCCGCGGAGCACAGTTTGGGAACCGCTAATCTAAAAAATACGAAAGGACTTATCAATACTTTATTATTCGTAAAATATTGTATTCTTTGATCGATATTCTGCAATGCTTACAATTTCATTACCATTAACTTAAATGTGTATATTTTTATCGGCAAATTGTTATAAATTTTTTTTTTTTATTGAACTTAAGCCCGGCAACTAGGGCCATTAGCTGTTTGTAAGGGTTACGTTGTAGGTTGGTACGGTAGGTTGTATTTTTTTATGATTGTTACGGTTGATAGCAAACACGTGTATGTGTGGCAAGGTTTTTAACCACTATGATCCCGAGTGGTCACCCATCCGGGAGCTAGTAGCTGTGGCCGTTACTTACTCTCAGTCGCATTCCGCGACTGGTAGCAGCCAACGCGCCACGCCAAGCCTGTTATAAATTATAGTACATCTATTATCGTATTCTCCAGTAAATCGACCATTAAAACAGTATAAATGCATTATACATTAGTATAATATGTATTACGCATAATACATTTTTGTTTATTAATACACCTATACGTATCAATCAGACACCAGTTATTTGTATAGGAAATTTAAATTTAAAGACGGTTATCGCATTTGTAACCTTGGTACGGGATGCCGTGATAACTAGATATATTACAAGAAAAAACTGATCTAAGTACACCTGATAAAATATACTGCGCAGATACAAAAGAATAATGTACTTATTTTAACTTTTCCATATTGAAGCGTATATGTTGCAGTGCCTAAATACACTATAAAATCTGAAATTAAAATTTGTGAGCAATAACAAATTTGTTATTATGTGTTTTAATTTATACCTTTATTATAAAGGCTTGAAGTTTGATAATTATATAACTTGCTACAGTACATATTTTGTGTTGAAAAAAAGCTATCAATATTTACGGGATAAAAAATATTATTTGAATTTTGAATTAATAATAATTAATATAGATTTTCATAATATTAGCTATTACGGCCTATATATTCAATTCAAAACTTATTATTTTATTTAATATTTAAAATGTAATTTTTGAAGTCTATTGGTTATGTCAATTTCTTAAATTATGCTGTGTATAGTGTATCATATGTAGTGTAGCAAAGTATGTGGGAATTTTGTCACTCATACAAATCCCATGGATATCCCTTTGAAAGCTCAGATATACTATTATTACACTATGTTAATTTAATTGTTATTAATATTTGAATGAAGATGTATTTAAATTAATCTGACCCGGTATAATATTTTGGAAAGTTAAAAATGTATTGAATTGTATGAAATCAATAAACTTATCTAGGTATAGGTACTGCATAAAAAGAAAGTTCTAAAGATCAGTTATAATAATTAAACGTGCAGGATTGGTCTTTGCCATAGTGGCGTAAACACACCTAGGTATTTTGGTTATTATTATTATAATTTATTAATTAATTAATTTTTATTTAATTTTTGGCTATCTTTACCTAAAATTTAATGTACCAGGTTTCACGTTCCACGAGACCGGATATTATTTTTAGTGAGTATTGAGGTTGTGTATCGCATCATAGAAATGCAGTGTATATGTATAATATAAAATATACTATTATGAAAATTGACGACGTATGTATAAGTATACGTCATGTAGGTTGTATGTATGACTAGGTGCCAACTATAATATACATAATAGGTACATTATACTAGTAGGTATACATGTATTGTACAGTATATCAAATATGGGGGTGCATTGCCATCTGCAGATCGAGGATACCGGCGACAACCCCTGACGAGGCGACGAGGGTGCATACGGATACCGTGATTTTTGGAGGGTACACTCTTTGGGTTTTCCCGCGCTCAACGACAACGCCGACCAGACAGTGTTCTCCCGCGCGATATTATTCTCCTCTCCATGCACGTCCACCGCAAACGCGGTACATTACGCGGTTCTATATTACAAGCGCATAATAATAATAACTAGCAACGTTATCATTGCGGAACGTCGGCGCCTCTCTAGCCGCGCACAACTGGTGTCTGGTTCCCGCGTTTTCGGCCGGCGCGTATCACGTAATATCGTGATATTATTATATATTATTGTGTATATATTTCGGACGGCGGCACAGCTGATTTGCCGCGCAGACGAGTGCGACAACCGTTTTGGTGTAGAAAGGAAAAGGGAGAGAGAGTAAGAGAGAAAAAAAGAAAAAGACCACCGAAACGACAACAAACACGATTCGTTCTGCGAGCTGGAGGTCGGCGACGACGGCGGTATTTTCCGATTGTGACGCAGGCACGACAAGCAACTCATAAGTCATAGCATACTCGTTGTCGCGTGCTATATTAAAAGACCTTTGACAACGGCTACGTCTCATCAACGCCATTATTTTAGCACGAGTCCCTGTGCTGTCTGTCACGTCTGCTGTGAGTATATACACAATATTTTAATATTATTTTGTGTAGTGAAAAAGCGTTAATTGTAAATGCGGTTCTTAGTTACCTGTTTGATTTTATACGATTATAATAATATATTGTTAATTACAATATTGTACGGTCGTCAACTGGTGAGAGGTGGGTTTGTTTTTGGGTTATTTCGCACGTGGGGTAGTGTGATTCCTTCTTATTGTAATAATTATCGATAATTTTATAAATATAACGTGTTATTAATTTAATCCTGTAATTGAAGGTCATCGTCTGATGTCATTGACCTGTGCTTTTTGGGGTTGTTTCACTTATAGCTGTTAAAAACCATATTTTTAGTTACTAGTAAATGCAATAAGTACTAAGTCAACCCTCTTAGTTATGAGATCAGAGATAGAAATATATTTTAAGTAGACACAGATAGAAATATTATTTAAAGCTCAAAATTTAGAAATTTCCATGCCTTATGACCACATATTGGATTCTTAGTGGTTTCATTACTTATTATTTGTATTGTTTTGTCTTTTTGGTAAATCATGTGTTCTGTATACAAATATACATGAATAATGTTGTATTTATATTTTTACTATAAATTTTTAGTAATTATGTAATTTAAAATTTTAGACATGATAATGAAGTGGTAATAGTATTATTCATCACCTATCTATATTTTACATAAGTACAATGATGTATTTGAATCATTTTTATTTAGGTATGTATTTAGCTATCTCCATTTGTTATATCTTCAATTAATTTAATTTCGCGTTTAATATAATCTACTTATAAATTATAGATATAGTCTTTATATGTATAATTTAATAAAATATATATAAAAAAAATATCTCTTATACTTATTGTATTTAAATATATTTTAAGATAGATGATTAGGTTAATTTTTGAATTTGTATAAAAAATATATATTCATAGATGAATTTATAATTAAAAATGCAAAAACAAAAGGAAATTATTTTCACTTTATTTAACTCAATAAAGATTATATAAATTAGGGAAATCTAGGGCTGCTATTGGTTAATATTATTAAACTCTAAACTAGTACCTCTTGAAAATGAATTATATTTATAAACTAAACTTTTAATTTTAGTAACATTTTTTTTTTTTTTTTGCCTCAAACCTTTGTGCAGTATAAACTTTTTTAGAAGTCATAATTAAATAAAACATAAAACATATTTAGTGGAGACTAATTGAAGTTAATTCTAGGATTTTATACTATCTGTTAAATTCTTCATAAATTGTATAAGTTCATTCGTAAAGTAGTATATTTTAATATTTAAGCTTTTAGATTAATTTTAAGGTTCTTTGTGTCTCATACAAGTTTTGTTTAGTTCTTTATACTCCATAATACTAACTATGATGTTAAGCTTTCTTTATAGGATATTAGAATGTTAAAAGAGGACTATAAATGCTGATTATGTATTAAATTATTTACTTAAAAATCCCATTTATTTTGTTTAAGTTATCTTCATATATTCTTTAAGTCATCTTTTCTAAATAGTTTAATTTAATTTTTTTTTGTGTGTGGTTAAATAATGAATGTGTATAAGTAACTTTATGCACTTAGTAATTTTAAATACCTCTAATTTTAAATAACTAAATATAAATAATATTTATTTACTTTAAATTATAAATACTATTGTACTAATACCTACAACTCTTGCAGCACAGTACAATGTAGTCTGTGGTGTACTGGTGTGGTAAGCATATTTCAAACCCTTATCAAATTATTTAAACAATGACCTATCCTTCCCTCTCGCCCTACAACATATGTAATTTAAAGCTGTGTGTTAATTTAGAATTTTTGTTATAGCCAGGGGTGGACTGTGTATCGAGGGGTCTGGAGGGTGAATCAACTGGACCTATTATTGGACATTTTAATTAATAAATATTTTTAGTTAATAATGTTCAATTAATTTTGATTAATTTGAAAATAAATGGGGCTTTACTGTTATATTTTAATATAACATTTTATACTTAAATATGTATAATTTTTATTAATTGACACTATCAAGGGCCCGGGAGTTGATTGCCTCTTTGCCTCCTTGGTCAGTCCACCTCTGGTTATAGTCAACAGGAGATAAATCATCAATAATTTAATACCTATACAAAAAATATTATGATAATTAATACACTCATCCATACAAATTTAAATTTTTAAATTCATTATACATTTTTAGGCCTTAATAGTTGTATTAGGTAAAAACTACTGAATGTAGCTAATACATAACTTAGCTAATAATAATAAAATAAAAAGAATAAATTATTTTTGTGAATTTATAATATAGTTAAAACAATTTGTTATTAAGTATTTATTATGGTAGTTAAAATTTTGAATACTTAATTAAATAGAATATAAGCTATTGAATATTAAAATATAACTAAACTGAATGTGTTAGTAATTTTTAATATAAGAAACAAAGTTATGAAGAAACAAGGTAATTGAAAAAAAAAACAAAATTTAAAAATTATTATAAAAACTTGTTTGAATTGTATTTATTTTGAATAAAAATAAAAATTTAATCACTTTTTAAATAGTTTAATACCTATTCATAACTTTTAAAAACTAAATGAACATAATTTTAAACATAATGGTAAAGTGCTTAGCATTATAGTTGTACTAAATTTAGTGTTTATAACTGAGACTAGTTTATAAAGACAGTGCCATACAAATAAATAAATAAATAAAATCAAGGCAGTAATGTATGAATTTTATCAAAATAAAAAACCAAAATTATTAAATATTTTTAATTAACATTTTTTTTTTTTAAGTTACCTTTTTAAATTTTTAATTGCTTTTCATAAACATTTATTTTTTATAATCTAATCTAATGATTAATTAGTACATATTTTTATCAGCATTGAACTACCTTTAAAAATCAAAAATAATAATATTATGATTAATATGATTTACTACACATTTCTTACCTTAAGGCTTAAGTTTGGTTGTAATAAATGTAATAATTTATTTAATATGGTAATTTTTTTAATTCATAGTACTTTATAAAAACTTAATTTTAGATTAATTTCTTAATAAAGTTTTTAAAACATATTTGTATAACTTACAATACATTTTTTAATGCTAAATTAAAATAATTTAAGTGATTGTTAGATACTTATTTTATATTTAATTTCTACATAAAAGCGTATTAAATATGTAAACATATGGCTTAAGTACCTTCAGGATTAAAAAAAATATATGTATTGTCAACGGAATTAAAAGGTACCAATATTATAACTATATTTGAGTAGATAAATCACCCTCAATATTATTTATAGAAATTATTAAATCATTGAAAAATGTTATATAATTAGTATATTAATTATTAACATATTAAATTATGATAATAGTGTAGTAGTGTGGAAGACAGTAGCGTAATTAGGAATTTGTCTGAGGGGGGATAGACAATTTTTTACACACAAAATACTTAGATTTTTAAGTACAGTGATAATTAGTATCTGAGAATACTATTTCATCAAAAATCCATAAACTAATATATAGGTACACAAAATGTATTATTGAATGTTGCTTTAAAATTTTACAAAATTTAGTACCTATACAATATAATAATTAATTCTTCAAAATATAAATATTGAATATATTAAAATTAAATTTTACTTTTAAATTAAATAATAATTATTAAAATATTAAATTTATTTTGTTTGTAATATAATATAATATACATAGCTCTTTTTTTGTACTGTTTAGTGTTTATAAAAGATTCTCTAATTTTCTTGGCTGTTTAGTCAACTTGTCAATCATATCATCAGAATATAGTACAATTGATGTATTAATCAATGTAATAGATAGAATTTCTATTTAATATATTTTATTTTGATGTCAGCATGACAAAACACAATTCCATAAGTCACAAATTAATAAGTAAATATACATAATATTATATAGGCTTTGGGGGATCTATTCCCTCATTGCTCTTTAATTACGCCCCTGGTGAGAGATGTAGTATAACTCTCATTTAAATATGTGTAGCATTTATAGAAAGTTATGTAGTAACTAACATTCAATAGTTAAATATAACCTTACTAAAAATGAAAATTGCCTTTTAACACATGAAAGAAAAGAAAAAAGTGTATTTGACGACAAAAAAAAAAGTTATAGCTATAATTTTAAGATATGATTAGGTAATAAAAAAAGTAAAAAAATATTTTATTTATACAATATCTAACATTTGAACAATTTATTTGTATAAAACTTAAAAATGAATCTTGAAAATTGTTTTACTATTAATTTTTTACTGATACTTACAAAGTATATAAGAAATTTAATTTGTGAAAATTAACTCATCATTGTTTTATACATAAAATTCTTGATTCAATATATAATTATAATTTAATTAAATAATTAAACTTTATTATTACAAGGGTTAAAAGATCCCTACATGATAGGTAAGATATTATGAAGTAACTAGGTGTTAGAGTAGATAACACATTATTACTTAAAGGAATATTAAGTATTTAAATATATCAATATATGTTTATAACTTAATTATGTATACATACATATTAAATTAATAACTAATGTAATAATTGGCTGACTATAAAACTATATACACTTAACGTTTAATAGTGTACAAGTTTATTGTTATATTAAATGTATGTCCTACTATAAATCACTAAAAAGTAAATGTCATGTGAAAACTCAAATAGGCATGTAATTTGTGGTATTCAATTATCACTTGTTTATCTTATTAACTTATTTATAATTTAATTATCTACAAATTAATTATTTTGCTTATAAATAATTATTATAATAGAACTATAGATATAATTCTATAAAAAAGTATGGTGATAAGTGATAACATCAGTATCAAATAGCCAATATGTTAATACCTAGGTTAATGATATAACATGTGTTTTTACTATTTGTTGTTAGATGGTCATATCGTCATAAGTTATGAAAAAATGCAATATTATTAACAATTCATTACTAAACTTCGAAAATCTAATTAATGACTTCAAATTAAAAATGG